CAGATTTTGACAAATAACGAAGTCATATTCTCTGCATCCACGCTCCCTATCTTGAAAGGGTTTAATGAATGAATGGCAGTGTATCAGACCATGGATGCTTTAAGGGGGAAGCTCTGGTGGCTTAGTGGTAAGGAGCTGGGCTGTCCAACCAAAGGCATGCAGTTCAAATCCACTGCTGCTCCACCGGAGAAAGATGGGCAATCTCCTCTCATGTGACTCAGTGCCTCTGAAAACCCACTGGACGGTCAGTTATGAAATGGTTCTGACTGGACGGTACACAACAACAACAACAATAGAAGTCTTCATTTTTAGGGGGTCATCCAGTTATTAAATCGGAATTCACACGAAGTCTCCAGCACTTTCTCTCAGAGGGCCTGGACGTATTCATTAAAATCCATTCTTATTTAACAATTTCTAAAATCGGTATCTGCTGTTTGAAGGAAATAGTCACTTATCACCCAAACTGCTAATGTAGCTACCATACACTAACTTTTCCCAAAACAGTGAACACCCAGCTGCAGGGTCGTAGCTTCTGCCTCAGAACTGTATTCATTTAAGTGATAAGTTCAAAGTGGCGAGGGGTCTTCCTTGACGGCGTCCTCCTCACCGGTTTTTGACATGTTTCAAATGCCTCAAACATACACCAACTGGGAAGGGCTGGGCACGTGACACTGGAGGAAACGGAACCTTTTTTCTCTTCTCAGTAACAAATGATAAAGCTGTAGGGTCTCCAAAGAAGGGCTCTCCGGCCCTTGGACGAGTGTGGGAGCCCACAGGGAGAGGTGAAGACGGAGTGGCTGCTGGTTCGAATCCACCAGCAGCTCAGGAGAAGGCTGGCAGTCTCCTCCCCTTGAATCTACAGCTTGGGAAACCCCAGGAAGGGGCAGCTGTGAGTTTCTCGAACCCTTTAACTCTTATAAACATGAACAGGATTCTGGCAGCTGGAGTGAGGCTCAGGCTCTTGACGAGGCGACACGAAGGCACCAGCCCACGTCTGGCCTGAGCTGACGCTCTGTCGTAAAGCGAGCCTTTCTCCCCAACCTTCCTCATCCTCATCCAGCGATGCAGTGCCAGTGTAAGCCAAGGCCCCAGGGGAGAGGGTGCTGGGAGGATGTTCCATGAACTCACATGATATCTTCAAGTGGGCCAGAGCCAGCCACTGACAGCGGGGACACGGGAGGCACAGGGGACGGAGCCAGGAGAGTTCAGAGGACAGACGCCGAGCTCCCCACTTTACGGACATTGTCTCTATTATCGATGACGTGTGCTCCCTGACCGGCAGCATCGGTGTCTACCAGGAGCCCATCAGGCATACTAGCGGCCTGATCCCACCCCAGACCGAGTGCATCAGGGACCCCAAGCTAGGGCCTGTGACGGGGCTCCCCGAGTCATGTCCTTCAAGAGATTCTGATGCAAAACAGCCCCAGTATCTTTTACTCTTCCTTTATTAAAACATATTGTAGAACTTCTATAATGGAACTAAACAGACCCAGACTCTAAGAACAAAGTTAGATGTGCAAAGGTACACAGAACAAACTACTTCTGTCCCTAACTCTCCCCGTGCCTACAAAGCTGTGTTGATGAGGCTAATTAACCTTTTCATTTGCATAACTCTCCAAATCAATGTGGGGCTGAGTTTTTATCATGTAAAACAACTTCAAACTCCTAATTTCGAATTAGAAGCAAGCACCATCTCTACAAGGCACATATGACAATCACACAGGCGGGCAGATCTTGGAGACAGTTCAGGTTTGGGTCTAGACCTCCCCAAAAAGGTCAGCGTTTCAATAAAGTGAGTCTCATAAAGGCTTTGATTTCCAATGCATGGAGACATAAAAAGTTTCGTTTACACCATTAATGTAGTCTGTTAAAGGAGCTCTGGGTGGCCTAGCATAGCGGGTAGCATTTTGTGCTGCCAATCAAAAGGTCAGCAGTTCGAATCTATTGACTGCTCCAGTGGAAAAGGTGGGCACTTTCTTAACTTGCTGATGTTGCTAGGTGCCGCTGAGTATGATTCAGAGTGACCCTATGAACTAAGATCTGAACTCTCTCCTATCCTGTGCCCACTGTTGCAGTCAGCATGTCAGTCCACCTAGTGGACGGTCTTCTCTTTTGCTGTCCTTTCCAAGCTTGGTGTCCCTCTCGGAGGAAACCCTCTCCCTAGCCACACGCCCCAAGTACGTCAGACAAAGCTTCAGTAGCCTTGTCTCCAAGGAGCTCTCTGACCGAACTTTCTCCAAGACATAGTTGCTTGTTCTTTCCTGCCGTCGATGAGACTCGTAAACTCACAGCCCTGGAAACTCGACGGAGGGGCGTCATGACTCAGGATTGACTGGAGGGTCGCGGGTTGGGTTTATTTGACAGTTCATGAAATGTGCAAGAGAATTATGAAAAAGTTCGAGATATTACAACAATTACTAAAATGTGACCCGGCGGCAGGAAGGGAGTATACGCTGCTGGGAAAAGGTGCCTGCACACCTCAGGGCGCAAGGTGCCACAAGCCTTTAATTTGTAAAAATACCATTACCTGGGAAACACAATGAAACAAGGTATGCCTGTAAATAGCAGGAACCCTTTAAATATCAGCAATCAGGAAATAGATTTAGACCATCTGACACCAGACAAGGAAATTCTGAATGGATTAAAGATAAATTTTTTTTTTTACTACAAATTTTTTTTCCTACAAATTTTATTCAGAAACCCATCTTTGTGTTTTTAAAGATAATTTTTTAAAAAAATCAGCAATAAAAATGGCACCTTTGGTCCTTTGAGCTGGTGTGAAAAAGAAAGGGAAGGGGGGAAGTAGTCTCTTCTCTGAAGTGGGACAGAGGCAGGAAGTCAGCAGCTGTAACTTGCAGGCACTGGGCAGGGTCTCTTGCACAGGCTCAGAGGGTGCAAGGGCTGGTTCTTCACCAAACTGGACTAAAGCGACCACCAGCATCTTCACCGGTGATGAGAAGGGGACAGAGAACGAGCAAACGGAGACTCAGGACAGGTGTCCCCCACGGTGATGGTACCCACATGTCAGTGGCAGGCATGTGGAGAGCTGAGCTAGGGGTCCTCGAATTTGCAGACGGGGACGATGCGGATGCTCAGGGGTCCTAATCTCACTTCTCTCTGCACCAGCGAACAGCACCGGCCCAGCAGCCAGAACTCATGCCTCTTCCCACCTGGCTTCTGAGAATGAGCGAGGCCCAGGACCTGGGGATGCTGTTTCTCACTGTACAAAGTGAGGCAGATGCTCTCTGTGATCTCCTGGGTCGGCTCCAGTTTTAGGATGCTACAACTTCCTTGTACAAGACTGTTACTGTTGTTGTTGTGTACATCAAGTTGGAACCGACCCATCCTCGGCAGGTTTTCAGAGGCAGTTAATTGCATGGGAGGAGACTGCCCATCCTTCCCCCGCTGAGCAGTTGGTAGATTTGAACTGTGTGCCTTCAAGATTGCAGCTCAGCTTCTTGCCGCTAGGTCACCAGAGCTCCGATACAAGATTATGCTCTACAATATTAAAATCTGACTAGAAATATCACAGGACAGATAGCTGACAACATTTTACTCCATTAGAACCAGTACACAAATGAAGAAACAAGTATTCTCACACAGCTACACTATGTTAGACTACCTTGTTTAGCGTGATGTTGAGTCGCCTGCAACTCATTCCCACTGTGGTGGTGTTGTCATTGTTGATCTCCACTGAGTTGAGCACGACTCATAACAACCCTATGAACAAAAGGCCTGACGCCTTTCTAGAACTAGCATCATTTCTCCAAGTTCATAGTTTCCAGAGGCATGTGGTTTAGGAAGAGGATACCACTCCTGCTTCCAAACCTGCCTTTAACTGGGAGCTCCACCAAACTCTGCCCACCATGGGCAGCCATTATGCCATCTGACCCCTAATGGCACAAGTTTCAGCATCACAGTAAACCCAGATTACTTCAGTGCAGCAAACTGACAGAGGAGTGCTGTACAACTTCTTGTTGTGGTTATGTGCCATCGAGTCGCTTGCGACTCATAGCGACCCTGTGGACAAGAGCCCTAAATGCTGCTCTATCCTGTGCCAACCTCATCATCTCTGACACACTCATTCCCACCACCCAAATCACAGAATCAGTCTATCTCATCGAGGGTCTTCCTCTCCTGTGCCGTCCCTCCACTCTCCAAACATAATGTACAACTCAGAACATAAAATAACACTAGACTCTCAGGTCCAACTTTTAAATACAAGGTCCCTCCATCTCTCTCAATATAGATATATAGATATCTACATATCTATCTACATCCATCTATCTATCTATCTATCTATCTATCTATCTATCTATCTATCTATCTATCTATCTATCTATCTATCTACATATATACAGATATAGCTATATAGTTAACATATAGATACAAACAAAAGGCTTGCAGTCTTTCTACAAAAAGCCAGAAGTTATTCTTACACAACTATACTATCATAGACTACCTTGTTTTGTGCGATGTTCAGTCGCTTGCAACTCATCCCTACCATACAGGACAGAAATGTCCCAAACGGGCTTCCTTGGCTCTGGACTGTACAAAGGCCAACTGCCAGCTCTTTTCTCCCACAGAGTGGATAGTGAGCTTGAACCACCAACCTTGTGGTTGGCAGCCAAATCCTTAGCCATTGTACAACCCTGCTTCAGTATAAACCCTTTCTAGATGGGCACTAACTCCCAGGTCATTTACAGCCTCTGAAGACCTCGTGGAGGCTCAGCTCTGAGGCAGTGCCGACCTGATGGCGGATAACAACAGTGCTGGGGACACGCGCTGGGCTTTGAAATGCACCTCGTTAAACTTCAGCAAATTTATAAGGAAGATTCTACCCGTTCCACCTTGAATGTTAAGCAGTAGGCTCTTGTTTCATCTGATAAGGAAACATAATATCCTTTTTAAAAAACCACAAGCAGACAGCCAGCAGAGTGAATGCATGTAAGCTTTACACACTGGACACACAGTGGAGATAGCAGGGAAGCGACACTGACCTCTATCCTGTGGCATTGGAGACTGGCTCATGGCAGGGTGCACGCTGGCCTCTGCCTGGCTGCCCGGCGGCTGCGGTGGCATCTGGCTGCCTGGAACACAGGAGGAAGGGTGGTCGCTGAGTTAATACTGCAGGGTGCAAGGGCGACACTCTTCTCGTCACAAGAGGTACAGCTTCCCACCACCCAGGAAGACACACGGCTCTGAGGTATGAGCTGTTCTTCCACCCTCCCCCCCCAAATGTGAAAAGGAAAAAATACATAAACATCTTTAGCCAAAGACCAGCAGAGAAATCAGCTTCTTACTGAATGTGTCCACACACACAGATAGGAATCAGTTTGTAGCGGCCGCCCCCGACGCGCTTCTTTGGTGAATTTAACAAAACCTAAGGCTGGTGACCCAAACTCGTCTCACTCTACACAGGCAGGTGGGCACGGCTGTCAACCACTGTTCACAGGAACAGCCAATCAACATCAGATCAATCACCTTTAGTAACCACTGTCATTAGCCAGTTAGAGAAGTTAGCATAAACAGAAAACCTTCATTAAAAACATAATATATTATAGAGGGACCTTCCCAAAGTTCTGAAGAGCAATGGTGCCTCTCTGGAGACTAAGGTGGGCCTGATATAGGCCATGGTCGTTGCAATCACTTGTTATGCATCAGAGAGTTGGACAATGACTAAGGAGAATAGAAGGAGAATTGATGCCTTTGAGTTGTGGTGCTGGAGAAGAGTATTGAGGGTACCACGGATTGGTAAGAAAACAAACAGATTCATCCTGGAGAGGGTTAAACCGGATTGCTCCTTGGAGGCAAGGATTCTCAGGCTTCGTCTAATATACTTTGGACATGTTGTAAGGAGGGACAGGTCCCTGGAGAAGGATATCATGCTTGGAAGGGTGGAGGGACAGTGCAGGAGGGGAAGGCCTTCCACGAGATGGATTGATTCTGTCACTGGGATAATGGAAGTAGGTGTGTCTGACACAGTGAGATTGGCACAAGATAGGGCAGAGTTTAGGGCTGTTGTACATAGGGTTGCTATGAGTCACAGGCGACTCAACAGCACATAACAACAACAACAACATACTACGATAAAATGGAGGGTTTATAGTTACTAAAGGAGGAGGGGGTGGGCAGGGAGAAAAGTGCAACAATTAATGACTGGAAACCCTAAGTCTCTGTAAACTTTCATTAAAATTAATTAAAAAAAGAAAAGAATAAAATCTAAGTTTGTTACAAAAAAAAAGAAAAAAAGAAGGAACATTACACCTCATGACCTTTACTGCTGAGATAACAAACACACTTTTTTGGGTTAGGTTTCCCCTCGTTTGCTGTTTGCTCAGTTTGCAAGTTCCCCCAGGCAGGAACAGTGTCTTCCACTTACTTTCACCCCTTTATTAGCCTAACAGATACCAAGTAATTCTGTTACTTAGTAACCCTTTGGGAATATAACGTAAAAGCGCTCTATTACGCTGTGGATAAAGAGGACCCATGAACCATAAAGGCCGGAGACTGGATGTCTAAGTGTAAGAATCACCAACGGTTCTTCCAGCTCAGCTCACTTCCTAGTTCCTAACTTCAAGTCTATTTTTTTAGATGGAAAGAAAACAAAAAAAACACACACACAAAAAAAGAAAAAGGCAGTTGGATTTAGCACAGCCTTCAGTGCACCAGCTCTTTCTGCATTTTAACTTCCACCCTTCCTCTCAGTAGAGAGGGTAGAAAGATCACGAGGTGTATGCTGTGTGTACACATGTATTCATGTTTGTGAATGTGTCTCTGTGTGTGTACAGGTGTATGAGGGGCTGTTCACGGACAGGTGCTGTGGAATTACCTCTGCTCCCCATGACTTTACACAAATCAGAGTGAAACTCTGTCCAGTGCCTGCCGTCCTCATGACCCTCGGCATGTCCGAGCTGACCGCTGGGGACACTGTGCTGGTCCCCCTCCCTGAAGAGGGTCCTTGTCTTCTGTCTCCTACACACAGTGTCCTTTCCTACAGAGTGTCCTTTCCTGACGACCTGTCCAGAGTCAGGGAGTCAAAGTCTTGCCATCCTCGTGGCTACAGAAGACGGTGGTTATATTTCTCCTGAGATGTTCATTTCCACCAGCCTGGGAGTCACGCTAGAACAGTCTAAGGACTGGAGCCCAGAGAAAGGCTTCACTCTTCCAGAGCCGGCTGATTACCGGCAAGAACAAGAAGTAAGGAGAAAAGGAGATTTGCGTTCTCAACCATCAGTGGGTGGGGGTCATGAGGCACCCCTAGCACAGACGAGCCACACCCTCTCCTGTGTCTCCTGTTCCTCCACATCTGGGCCCCTCAGACTGTCACCAGACAGAGCTCTAACATGCAGATGCCCCGCGACAGCCAGGGAGGACAGAAGGTTTTCCATTTAGATTAACAGGTATAAACCACTCTTTTGAAGTAAGGCTATGAAAGAACACTAAAACCGTAAGACCCAAACTACTTCTTGGCACTGTGACCTCTGGCTTTTTGAGAAGAAGGCAACATTTCTGACTGTCTTTCTGAACATCACTCAGCTCAGAGGCGAAAACAGGAGGAATTTGCAGATGCAGGGAACACGGTCCTGCAGGACCGCTAGGCGGCGCTCCTGCGTTAGAGCCGCAGGCAGCAGATAGGAGCCCTGCACACACAGCACAGACTCTGCTTAACCAAGTCCTGGTATCTGCAGGAAATCGACATTAGGACCAGACAGTTAAACGTAAAGTAAGAAACACAAACATCCCCGATCACAATTATTTCAAGGGTAAACACCCGTCACCGACTCGTCTACCGACAGCAGAGCTAGGTCCACCCACTGAGGGATCCCTTGCTCCCCAGAAAACACCAGGGTGCATTTAGAAAGGACCTGCCGCCACTCTGACATTTTAACCATCACTGGGAATCAACTGCTCGAAGCCAGGGAGGGCTAACATGATGACTGCTTCTGCATGACAGACTGAGTGATTGCAAACAGTGAATCTGGGTGAACACAGGGTCTGGGCTCCCCTCACTGTGCTCCCTGGGGAAAAGGCAAGGCTGCAGGCTCCTCCCAGGATTTACACAACACTGCCACAACCTTGTGGTACCACAGCTCATCGAGTAGAATAAAATCAAGGCAGGTACTGCCTCGAAGCAACTGGGAAACTCATTTGATAACATCATGTTAACAAAACAAACAGAGATGTTTCATGGTCCATTCACTTCCTTTTACCTCTTTTCTGTCCACAGTTTCACAGTCCCTAAGAAAGGGGACTTCATGTACTATACATACAGGTATGAAATCAGTCACTGCAGATGATGAAGGGAAAAATTCTTCTAGGAACTGTAACCCACCTACTCCTCAGTGACTATCTTGTTATCCAACATTGCACATTTACGGAAAGAGTTAAAAAAAAAACCCAACCCTACCTATTTGGTGCGGTCAAGATGGACAATGGGCCCTAACAAATGCAGAGCAATGCATGCTCTGATAGAAAAGGTTAAGTATTAGTTTGGTTGGGCCAGGATTACCAGTCTTTGGCATAATTTTATTATGTAATGATGTCACTTGGCACTTAGGCAGTGCTGTGATTGGACACTTAACATGATGATGAAATCTGGCAGTCACCTTCAATTCCATGATTTGACATACCCATCCTTCATCTCTGCAATGTGACCTTTGCAACCTAACTAGTTTATGTTGCTAAGTGAAAAGTGGCTATGTATACCCATCGTCCATTTAAAGAAGGAAGTTCACAGCCCTTTGAAACACTCTGTAAGCCTCTTCAAAAATGAGGAGTGGTATGACAACTATTAGTGCTAACAAAGAGAGAGCTCTGTTGACCTAGTGGATAGAAATTTATGCCACCAAGGCAAAAGTGGGTGATTTTAATCTGCGGCCCTTAGGCCTTGTTTTAACTGTTTTTTTTTTGTCAATCAGTCTTCTAAGTGGTATAGCACTGGTCTGTCCATTTGCTGTACAGAGGTAACTTGTGGTCGCTATGATGCTAAACACTGTGACACTGATGTGTCGAATGTGATAATGGTTACCCAAAGTGGACAGTGTTTGGTGGAGCTCCCCAATTTAAACAAGTTTGGAAGCAGGAGTGGCATCCACTTCTGAAACAGCTTGCCTCTGGAAACTCTATGAATTTAGAGAAATGATGAAATTTATACAAGTGTTCAGGTCTTTTGTTCATAGGGTCACTATGAGTCATCTAACTCGACAGCACTTAACAATAACAACAACAACAAGTGAAATCTTAGAGAAAAAATTTTAGTGATCACCTACAAAGAGAGAATATTGACACATATAGTGAGTGAACAATTAACTTTGTGAGGAAAGTCTGACATTAGGATGGTATAAAGTAGTGCACAAGATTGAGGTATAACAAATTAAAAAAGAAAAATTCGCAAATCAAAAGACCATCCAACTCTTGGCTGTTGAGAGGATTCTGACTCTTAATGACCTTATAGGGAGCTTCACTGCAATCCTGAAGGCACAGGGTTTGAATCCACAAGCTGCTCCATGGGAAAATGGTGGGCAATAGCCCCCTGTTTGATTAATTGCTTCTGAAAACCCCCTGGAGGGTCAGCTACACGTCAGTCCTGACTCGACGGTACACAACAACAATGACCTTACAGGTTTTCCAGGACCCTAACATCTCGGGAAGCAGACTGTCCTCCTATCCTTTCCCCCAGAGGGGCTGGTGAATCACTGCATCACCAGGGTTCTAGGAGGACCAGTGGTTGTTAAGGACCGTTGAGCTGAGTAGGACTCACAGTGACCTTATGAACAACAGACTTGTAACCTGTCTTGTGCCGTCCTCTTCATCTCTGACACACTTGAGCCCCTTGCTGTAGTCACTGTGTCACTCCAGCTTGCTGAGGGTCTTTCTCTCTTCTTAGACCCTCAATCTTTCTAAGCTTGATGTCCCTCTCCAAGGATTAACTCTCCTAATAACACGACCAAAGTACATGAGACAAAGCTTTGTCGTCTTTGCCTCCAGGAGCACTCTGTTTACACCTTTTCCAAGACACAGATGTCCAGTAAGTCCGCAAAATGTTTTCTTTCAGTCTATGTTGTTGTTATGTGCGGCCGAGTCACTT